GGCCAACGAGGTGGACATCATCATTGCATTTGGCAGGGGTGAGTCCTTTCGTACCAACTTAATCAACACATACGGTATACACCAACGAATACATTCCCCCCCCTTACCTGAACCTAGTCTAGACTAATACGTTATTGCTTTCCTGATGGTACGCTATATCTGCATTCTTGTAAAGACCCCCCCCTCCCCCATCGTTTCATTGCTTTTGCTTTTCCGATTCTGGTTCGTCCCTGATGTCACATTATTTGATAGTAAGAATTTTTCTTTTGAGTGATATATTTTGTATCCAAGATCCAAGGGTCATACTAATATGAATTTTTCTTATTGTTGTCTTCCACAGACCGCTCGTACGGTGGAGCACATAACCGTAAGTACCTTACTTTCGCCTACTTAGCAAATAGTACGGCCATAGTGGATATATCAGGATCGTCCTACACAAGTAAATCACCCATGTTCACGTAAAACGATAAAGACAGAAATACGCTGTACATTCATCAGTAGCAAAATTGAATTCAATCCCAAAGCGCTTAATCGTTAGTGACCTACCTATTCACTTGTGTGCTCGACTGAATGGATTAAATGTTGCAACATTTGTCATCGCTAGAGAGACTAAACCTTTCTTTCTCCTTTCGATGTAACAGAGAGACACCTACACTTGGGCTGTTCGCACGAGTTCCAGGGCCAGGAGTACGCGCACGCCTTCTCCAACGCGCACGCGAGTGTGCACCTGAACGACGACGTCCCCTGGACCCCTGACGCCGGTCAGCGAGGAGTCAACCTCCTGAAGGTCAGTGTGTTTGTTTGTTTGTTTGTTTGTTTGTTTGTTACAGCAGTAGGGGAGGAACGGAGGGATGGTTTGGATTATATATGTACAACTGGAAGGCTTTCAGTCTGCATTTTGTTGATATTTACATGGCTTGACTTCGTAACGTATCATCCAATGTCACACTTATAATTATTAAACATTGAGTACTTAAATGATTGAGTCTTCACTTCTTTACTTGGGACCTTGATGACCCTTGACTTATCTGTATCTGTATAGCCGGTATAACCGCCTTTCGGCGTAACACGCCACTTTCGCAGGCACGCGGCGCGGCGGCAGCTGGCTATATTACACCGATCGACTTACTTGAGTCTTTACCGACATTGACGTTTTTACATCTCCTATCTTCTTACCTAACGTTGCGTCCTTTCCCGGTATAGGTGGCCCTGCACGAGGTCGGCCATACCCTGGGGCTGGGCCACCAGCTCAGGTCCAACTCCCTCATGCAGCCCAACTACCCCTCCGACGACCTCAGCCTCGAGATCGGCCCTGAAGACAGGAGGGCGATTCAGGACCTCGGATATGGTAAGTGTGGGGGTGAGATGTCCCTGTTCGCTGTCATTGTTGATGTCATGTTTTATAGAAGGAAATCAGTTCAGACACTCTTGTCATGTGCGATGAAATGTCACATTTGTGGAGAGGACATAAGTAGTGTTTCGACAGGAATATTTTAGCCATTTCGTGACGACGGAAATTGTAGAGCATCAACATCTACTAGTAGGTTTTCGAGCTTCCTTTTTAGTTCTCTCATCTCTTGACCCGGCGATTCTTTGGTTTGGAACCTTCACCCCGTTTCGATTAATCAATGAAACGGTAGCTTTGGCGCACGAGGGTCATCCACCAGCCCTGGCAAAGTGCTTAGTTCGATTTTTACCAGTCAGAAAAAGAAACATGATCGAGTTTTAGTGGCAATGTTTAGGGAAGGGCTGAAACGGTTGTGTCAGGTGGTGCATGATGACGTCATCAGCGATCGAGCGGGTGGTAAGGCCACCGTCTCCCTACCCCGCCCAGAATCCTTTGTGTCACAGCTATAGTATTTACCCAAAAGTCAATAATCGCGCTCTATAAGTAACCCTTTGGAAATACGTCACGAATACGCAGCTTTCGGATCCCGTACTTATTGTATTAACGAATTTGCGCCAACAGAACAGTCAACAGCTGTTTTGGCACCGTAGTTTATGCTCTGTGTTTCAATCCTCTCGAATTTGTGTGAATGGACTGAAATAAGTACTCGCTATTAACTCTTGTACACTTAAATTGGCAGACAAGAAATGATGTCTCAAACAAGAGGTCCGATCGAGAAATCATTTATTAAAATTACTAATAATACATAACACTACGTGTGGTCCGGGGATGCAATATCATTTGTGCAACTTTTGAAAACGATCGTAAGTAAACACACTAGTGACTGTTTTTAAGGTACTAAACAAGAAAATGCCGCCTTACTTGTCTGAAATGTGTAAGTGGATGCCACCCCCAATGTTGAACAGACGGACGAGGTTAGCTGTAAACCAGTTAGCAAATTGGGACCCTCACATGCTGGTTGTTCCACCGGCAAACATTAACACATACAAAGGGAGCCTGCAGTACCAGGGTCCAGTGCTGTGGAACCAGCTCACAATAGAACAGAGAAAGCTACGAACTGTAACAGCCTTCAAAAACTCATTGTAATTATATTGTATTTGTACTGCTGTATGGCTATTATGTGCTATGTACTGTGTTGTTATCATTGTATTGTTTCTGCATTCTATTGTACCCAGATCTACCTGAAAAACAGGTCAAATGACCTGAGTGTATCTTCTGGTTAAATAAATAAACTGAAACTGAAACTGTAAGGACGTTAGCAAATATTTACCATAAGATAGAAGAAGAGTATATAGTGACGTCCAGCACATATTATACCAACTTACGCTTGCTTGTGTTACGCTTGCTGAGGATACTTTCCTGATGTTGCTAATACCTTTTGTTCTACCCGTGACAACAGGAAAATGCGAAGAGCGGTTCGACACCGTGTTCGACTGGGTCAGACCGATGTTCGAAAACGGCTACATGCTGGGAGCGACCTACAACACCTACTTCTTCTCCGACGGTCGCTACTGGATGTACGAGAACTCCAAGGGACGGACGCGGTACGGAGACCCCCGCATCACCGGGGCGGGGTGGGAAGGCATCGCGCCACGGAAGCTCGACGGGATCCTCCACGTCTGGAAAAGGTCCTGGGATGCCCTCTTCTTCTTCTCAGGTAAGATTTCAATTTCTTGATGATTTGATGCGTATATTTGTAACGTAAGTAAAAGAAATGATAATGAGATCTGCCTATCTGAGAGAAGTAGTAAAGAAAACTTTTGTAATTAATGTCCTTCGTTTTGATGACAACATAATATATAAGCGGTGAGCTTGAGAGTGTGAATAAGCAAAGAAAAAAGATACATGGACGTAAAGAGAAGATGGACGCGTAGGGAGAAGGACGGACGGAGAAATGATGGAAAAGGACTCCATTGTGGATGAAAAGGAATGAATGAAGGGAGAATAGACGATAGATGAAACTAGGATGTACAAAAGTACATCAAAGCTAGGATGTACAAACGTACACGAAGGAAACAAAACGTACATTGTAAATTATCCCTGTTTAAGAAAGCTGCTGCCCATCTTAACATGCTGCCATGTATTGCTTGTTTGCAGGTGATTCCTACTACCAATACGACAGCGAGGAGGACCACGTCTACACACACGACGCCAACGGAAACCCCTTCCCCAACCTCATCAGCTACGGGTTTCCCGGCATCCCAGACAACATCGACACCGTCTACTACAACAGAACCACGGGATACATCTACTTCTTCCAGGGTAACCTGGTGAGTACTTCTCTTTCTTTCCTACTTGTAACAACAGTATCATTGGCGGAGTTACCCACATTATTATTTTTAGGTAGCGATGACGCTGTCACTTTGGATGTGTACTTATAACGACATTGCTCTCCGTTCCAGGTGTACCAGTACGAAATCGAGCGACATAGAGTGAGTCCGGGCTTCCCCAAGGAAATCAGCGAGGTGTTTCCCGGCGCGCCCAACGACATGGACGCCGCCTACTACTCCTACGCGCACGGGACCACGTTCTTCATAAAGGGATTGGAATACTGGAAAATAGCTTACCCGAACGGACCGATAGTTGGGCCTATGAAGACCAACGAACAGCGGCAGGACATCTGCAATGTGTGGATGCGGCATCTGGACTATTAGTGGAGCATTTCTGCGCTGCACACTAGCTACAAGCGTACGTGAAAAAAAAGTTCGAGAGAAATGTTATTCGTACTGTTTTTTTCGTGAAAGATTGGAGCATCTGTGCAGTCTTTTTGTTCAGTCTACCCTCCGCAGACTGTACAAAAAGAAGGCCTTAGGGTACAATTTCGGAATTACATGCAAACTACCAGACCTCTTCCTCTATATTATACTTCTGGTTCCGATTTAGAAAAAAAACTTCTCTTGTGGCAAAATCCAGCTGCATTCTTCATTGGTCACTGCAAAACATAAACTGCTCTTCGTTTGCATGATTTCTGAGAGAGGCCCGGGCCAAGCAAGGAACTTTCTCCTGTTCAGTCCCTGTCCTAGTATGGGGCATTTTTGTGCAATACAGGTTTCACAAAGGAATCGGTCAAGTTGATAGGATACTCAGTTGTCTCATGGAGAGTTATATAGTTTTTCTTTAATAACCAGTGAGTAGTTTCTACAAAAATGAAGATTATTGTCTCTCATAGCTGTCTCTGATGAGGATTGTTACCCACAGGTATTTACGGTGTGTTTTCTTTGAGTGCCCTTGAGTAAAAGTCTAGGTTCACGATTACATTATCCAAAAGCATTTTAGTTCGAAAAACGAAGTTTTCCAAAAAAATAATTTTGTAGGTGAAAAAGGTCAACAATAGATGCAAGGACGTAGTTGAGCCCCAGGCGATTGAGATGGGTCGCCTTTCCCACATTTTGCTATCTCAGGAATACTTGTAATCATGTACGCGTAATTTATACCACATATATTTTGATAATGATGTATTTTGTATATTTAAAATATCTGCCTCCCTGTTGTGATAATGCACGTTCAAATGGATATGATATTTATAGTGATCGATATTGGAGAGAGGGGGATTATTGTCACGCACGAGTCCAGGTGAGCCCAGTGGGTCATGGTTTAGAACGTGTGTGACCCGGGGACACCGTGGGGACTGTAGCGGGAGTGACAACCACAGATTGTGTGGACCATATTGGATCACAGGGGTAGATGCACTGTTGGTGTTGAAGTGTACAATACGGGGTGTATATCGGGGGAAATGATAAAGTTGTATGTATGATTGAGAGTGGGCAAGGCTCGTTCCCCCTTCTGAAGGGCTGTGTATAGATTTGTCTGTTATCGTATATGACTATGAGTGATTTAAAGGTCTCTTTTGTACAAAGGACAGGACTATGAGCGAGAATACCTATGTATGTGTGGATGGAACAGTCTTAGACCGTAAACAGTTTCAAATCTTTAATGTAAGAACCCGACAAGTGAGTGTTGGTAGTGTACCGGTTCAATGATGCCCTGTGCAATAGTGCCTGCGGAATGACAATCACACAGAAAATCATTCTCCAAGTTCAGATTCTGGAACAGAAGTCTGCAGGGCGGTGTAGGGGGCGTGGTCAAACAAGGAGCCCCGCCCATCTGACAACAACGACGTTTCAAGTTTAGTTCAAACTTTTCGACGTTAGCTTTATTTCTTCGCTTGTGGGTTCTTTTCTTAAGCTTATTAGATTACAGCTTAAATTATTCTCTAAGATATTATCTAGAGAGCTTTTATTTCAAACGACAACCGACTGACTGCATGTTGCACATGTACAGGTTGGGCAAAGAAAACGTCTTATGTCTTTTGTTAAATTGTATTTCGAAGAGTAATATTTCTATATTTCATCGATTGTACAAAGCGTCATGCAATGTTGTGTATCGCATACTAGTATTCTAAAATAATAAAACAGGTCAAAAATATCAATCCTGATGTGTGTCTCCTTGCTCTGTGATAGGAACGTTAGATTTAGCAACAGTGAAGAATGAATTCTACACTTTACCTTTATTCCACCACGTCTTCTAGCGACACACCTTGACATTGCAATCCCAACTTGCAATCCCACATGTGCCCAAATAGTTGGGCAGAGGTTCAGACAGACACGGTCATCTTTACCCAACGAGTAAAAGCGTTCATCCAATGTAAGACAAAGTCATTTCTTAAATCTAGTGTGATAAGATAGACCAAGATTTGATAGGCTCAGGAGAATTCGTCATCAAGAATTGTTTTAACTGTCTGCGAGCGTCCCACAGACGATGTCGACGGACGGACGGTATTTTGTTACCGTTTGCAGCAGCGGTAACAAACTTCCCGGCGAGTGTCGTATCTGCGCTGTCTACCAGCCCTGACCTTCGTCCAAACGGCTGGATCTTACGTGACGTCACCGATGGAATCAAAGGTCAGTCCAGTCATTTACACAGTGCATTTCTCCGTTGTTACGACGTTCTCTTTCGTAATCTTGGCCGAAATCTTCAGCAGTCGTTTCTGCGTAAAGTCAGAAACATGGCTACTCCTAGTACCTCGCTTGGAGAAATGATCTGCTGTTTCATCGCATCATTTCTTGCGCACTTTCACACGTGCTAGGTGTGTTCTTGCAAATTTGCAAAGTACGTTCATCCAAATTTCCCCACATTAATGAAAAGGGACGTACGCATAACCTTAAAATTCTTAAAATTTTAGACTTTGACAAAGACTATGTTTGTGCCATAAGCGTACTGTGCAATGCGATGTGTGCTCATAGGTTGGAACACAAATTGTTTGCCAGCAGCATACCTGGTGTCCTAAACCTTGCGCGCTAGAACCGTCTCTTGACAAGACGCCTCTGTCTCATATGTCTTCTCTTGATCTTGGAGGCAAGTAGCTAGCAACTTCTGCTGTACATTGACGCTGTCCTTTTCACCAATGCGGGCGACGACTGCGCCACAGTGTGTAACATGTATTTCATCCTCCGTTCAGTAACGTTACTCATCCAGTCTCTCACAGCTCGCTACCATCCTGCGGTCCCACCTTCACGAAACAGGAGAGTGAAACATTAACCGTCGCGCCCTGCCACATCACACGGAAAGCCCATATCACACCTTAATTGTGAAGACAAATAAAGCCACGATTATGATACGGCTATCTTTGTTTCAAGAGGCTTACTGGAGTATGGGGGTGTTTGTACAGAGAGGCGAGAGTGTTCCCAGTGTGAGACTTTGATGACAGGGTCATGTCTGGGAGCCTGGATATGACGGCGGTTTATCGTTTTGTGAGTAGGTACTCAACCTTTAGCTAGTTAGCGGCTCAGAACTGTGCGTACGTCTACGCTAGTCTCAACCGCCTGATCGAGGGAGAGTAGTGCCTAGACACACGGCATGGACATTCCGAGTAAGACTTACACACACAAACACTGTCAAAGCGAAGTAGATGGATTTTTAAACACCATCTTTTAAAATGCAGATGTGATAACGACAGTAAATGATGCTACACCCCGAGTCGACGTGCCTTCTGCTCTATGCTTTATTGCTTCCTATGGTTCTAAGTCGTAGGCTCGGTGCTTATCCATGTCATCTAAAATCTCTGCCATGTGACTAGCATATTTGTATCTTACGCATGATAAGGTACGTGTGTATAGTTTCCGTTGCTTTTAGAGTAATCAGATTCTTTCTCGATGATGCCATGGCAGTGTGTAAAGTTCACCCGTAATCATAACCGGTAGTTGTGCTCACACCTTGTCAAACGCCGACTGCTGATTAGTCGGGAAACTTGCCATATATAGAATCTGGGTCCCACGTCACGGCTAGGGGGCGACTATTTAAGAACGGTCAACACACGGCAGACGGCACAATCTCTTGTTTTCCATTAGTTGTGGTGACACGCCGGAGTTTGGCGGAGGTTGCGCCTGGCTCTAGGCCGAGAGAGTAGTCATCTACGTCCAGTTCGACTTGGGAAAACAGGCCCAAAAGTCGACGCGTTCATAGTAGACATTTGCCGACGACCACTGTAACCAAGTGCGAGTACGTACCGCCATCAGAGATGAACGTCTTCAGAATAAGCAGGCTCTCGCCGCCGAGGAGGCCGAACTTCACGACGACAGTGGCGTGCCTGCTGCGCCATGTGTACGCCTTCGTCACCCTGTTCCTGCTGTTCTCCGAGGCCGACCGCGTCCCCGGCGGGAGAGCCAGCGGGGTTGGCCACGCGATGCCCGCGGCCGGGAGGGTGAACATTCCCGCCATCCTCACCGAGAGAGACGCAGCGGTACGTACGGCGACGCTCGCCTCCTAACAGATGCATGACTTCGGCTTGTTTTCGTATGTCTCTAAAGTGATATCGTTTTTCGGGCTTGTGTCGGACGACCTTTTGCTCGGTTTGTGCGTCTTTCAAGTGCTTGGCGAGGCGGCTGGTGAAAAACATGCGCCTTTGAAAGACGCAAGAAATAAACGACGTACGAAAACAAGCCTTATCCATACATGCCTGAAGATTATGATTACGCCAATACTCCCACCAACCATGTGCACGACGTTTACCTATCTTTATGACGTCTTTTTATGTTTGTTCACGATTTCGGTTGCTACTGACAATTCGCCAGAAAGACTTAACCTAAGCCTGTAAACATAGCGCAAATGGTAGGCTGCTTATTGCAAGTCTTCTCCATGACAGCTAGGCGCATTTTACTGGAAGAGGCATGATTATATAACGATCGCTAGATCTGTAGATATACATGTGTTGAAAACCCGGGATGTACTGTATGTGTTTTTGCCAATTCCGTCACGTTTGGTAGAGCTGCTGCAACGTAGCAACTTGTCAGCGTGCGTGGAAAGGCGGTACTTTACAGGACAGGCGAAATTTATTGATCAATAAATGTAGTTTATATGTGGTTTACCAAGAAAGCAAGAACCACTGGGTAAATATCGTTTGCTCTACTACTTGGGGGATTGTTCATTTTATGTAGTGTTATATCCCCACCAGGATATAGACTTTAACACGACAAACAGAGACTTTTGGTCTAATCTTAGCCCACACGAGAAGATCATTGATCACATCTGTCAACACGGACTATGAAACCTAAAAAAGGCACCATATAGAGCCTGGATATGGTGACCTGGCAGAGCTGGCATGGTGGCAACAGCGCATTATGTATTCAAACTCATGTAGGTCCATAGAAGGGAAATCATGTCAATGCTGTGATATTTCCTAGCTCCTGTATGGAGGGTAAATCAAAGGAAACGGAAAGAAATCATTTCATTTATAGACATATATGTTCTGAATCTGTCCGTCTGCTGTTGTTTTTCTGAGCTAATTATCGGCGATGTCGTCCTGCAGAGTTTCCTGGAGAGGCTGGGGTACTTCCAGCCGGTAGACTGGGAGTCCACGCTTGATCGGTCGCGGCAGACGATATTTGAACCCGAGGACGTTGCGCCAGACATATTCTCAGACTTCGACCCCTCGGTCATGGTGGAGGAGGTGGAGGGCATGGGGAGAGACGGCGAGCCGACGATTGGCGTGGACGACGAGGAGTTCAAGGAGGCCATCAGAAAGTTTCAGCAGGCAAACAACCTCACCGTCACCGGCGTGCTGGACGACGCGACCAGGAATAAAATGAACGAGCCGAGATGCGGCAATCCCGATCACACGCTGGCCAAAAACGGCACGAAAGCGGCGCCGCTAGCGGCGTCTAACATCACAAGCGATTCCTTTGCCGATACAAACGCGACGTCTAATAATGCAACTGTTCACGTAGAGAAGCGGGCCACGGAAGATGCTTCCGCAGGCAGCAGTAGAAAGCGTCAAAGCGTCCTGAAAACGTGGATGGAGAGGCAGGAAGAGAGGAGAAAAAAGCGCGGCATTTTCGTGAATAACTACGTGACGTGGAGGCTGTTGGGAGAGGGCTACAGCTCGCAGTTGGACGCGGACCTCCAGCTCGCCGTGATCCAGCAAGCCTTTCGGATGTGGAGCGAGGTCATCCCGCCGCTCTTCAGACCGGACCACGTCTCGCACATCGAGGAGGTGGACGTCAACCTGGCGTTTGGCAGGGGTGAGTTTTTATGTCTTCGTTAAGTTAGCCAAACTGGGTGGATATTTTACCCTAAAGTAGTACATGTATATTGACTTACGTCACTAGTATTTAGAGCATTTGGTATGGCTAATAAGCCATCTCATGTGGGCACTCCGTTTACATCTCATTAGACCTAAGGTTCTAGATAGTTCGATGGTGATGTACCCAAAGTGGTTCCAATGACTGTGGCGCTTCTCTCGTATGGCGTGACTTCTTCTCTCTCTTGTCGGTTAGCAGGGAATCCAAAAGTGTTTTTTGTTTTCTCGACGACTCATTTCAACTGTCTGTCACGGTTTAACTCTGATTATACATTGTAGTCTTGATAAACTAGTTACACAGGTTATTAACACACACATGTTCAATATGGCGTCTTCGGTGGAATGTATAACACAGACGTACTACCAGCAAACTTTGTTGCATGTCTGTCGTGTGTGTTCCTGCCGAATATCCTATTTTTGGAGCCGCAGCTGATCACAGGGCTGCTCCGTAGTTGTTGCGTCAAATACCTGATAAATTTCGAGTATGAAAGACTGCTACGAGTGTGAACTAAATAACAAAATGATGCATGAAGGAGCATAAACGTCCTAATGTATTGATTTGGGGATTAGGAGGCAAATGTCTTCTACATTTCTAAACCTGAAAATTAAAAACAAACATGAAGAATGTCATACAATCTTGTGTGCTGGCAACCTCTAACAGGCAACAGTCCTTGTTGCAAACTCTCAACTCCTACTTACGATGTACATGTCTGATCGTTGATGACACAAACGTCTCTCTCCAACTCTCTCTTCACAGTCCCCGAGATTGTGAACCTGTTACTAGCAGATTTCTCCACCCTGATAACACTTCCCTGCCTCGACTATATTCTCATCCATGGTCTTTCCCCCCTCTTTCTAGGAGGTAGTCCATAAAAAGGAGATTTTTGCTGTCTATGTTGAGTTTGAATGTGTGGTCGTACGGATTCGTCTGCAGTTTAATGATGGTGCATTTTTGCCCAGGCTTGATGTTTTGTACTTTGTCACACAGACCGTCACTCAGCCTGGGGTGGAGCTACGGCGGGTAAGAGGCTTTCGCTTCTAGTCAATTTGATGCGAGAAAGCTTTCTGTGCACATCCGTGAACATTAGGTACTACTAAGGTGCTCAGAGGATATAGAGGGGTTTTCTGATATTTAAAAAAAATCTCTGATACTCTGAGAATTCCTCACTCTGTTGACAGAGCGTGACTGCTGGTGGGTGAAAGTCTCATGTCCTCCGAGACAACTACATGTAGATGCAAACCAACTTTTTGACATATTTCCAACATTTCATGTTTCATTCTTCTTCTCCTTTCACAGTGAGACACTTGGGTTGCCCGAATGAGTTCCAAGAACAAGAATATGCGCATGCGTTCGACGAGGCTGCGGAGGTCCATATCAACGACCAGATCCAACCTTACACCGTCAACCGGCCGGACGGCATCAGCCTGCTCAAGGTCGGTCTTCTTCAGGGGAAGGGGGGTAGGAGGAGGGGAGACACATCTTTATTATTTGCGATACATCATTGTGATTTGTGAACACTAATGGATAATTACAGCATCAGTTAAGCACCTGTAAATGTTTTTCGATGATCACACACACAGTATTAAAAGTACAGTCAAACTTGCCCAGGCGATCACCTCTTTAAGCCGACCACCCGCCCAAGGAGACTAGTTTCTCGGGTCCACTGGGTGGTCGCCTCGAGCGGGTCTGACTGTAGATGGGCTAACAAGCACGGTACTAGCACTTCTGCTATGTAATAGATAGAGCGTTTTGTTTCATGTTTGATTGAAGCAATGTGTGGACTGACCTCTATGCCTGCTATCTGGCAAGCTCTAGGACCTTACGACAGACCGACGTTTCTCAGATATCATTTAGATCATTTTTTAATGTTCTTCTGTGGTGACATGATGTCGTTTCGTTCCAAAGGTAGCGGTGCACGAGATCGGTCACATCCTGGGGCTCGGCCATCACGAGTGGGCCAACTCCGTCATGCAGCCCAACTACGCGCCGCAGCCTTACAACTTCGAGATCGGCGCCGAGGACAGACGGGCTGTGCAGGAGCTCGGTTATGGTGAGTACATGGAGCGGAGGGAGTCATGAATGAATGGATAGATGAATGAATGAAGACCGTATTGTACGTAGAATGAATTAAGACCGCATTTTTGCCCCACTGGGCTAAGTACAGGTCACATTATTACAATCATATATATATATGCATATACATATATCTGTTACATGTATATATAAACGTCTAATGTAGTCTAGTCTTTTCGACTTCCTCTCGCCTCTTGGTAATTGTATAAATGTATGAGGCTGTATGATAAGTTACATTTGGTTTATGAAGGGCTAATAGGAAAATAAATTTACTTGTCAAGTATCTGAAGTGGGGAAATTTACTTTTAAAACATGACCGAAAAGTATGCGTCTATCACTGTCATCACGAACAAGCCAAGACACTTCTGTGAAATACCCACGGTGTTTACTCAGCACTTTGTTAGCCAGACGGGGTCACCTGTCAACCTGATATCACCGCTGGGGGTCTGAGCTATCGGAGATCCTTTATCGTACGGGTTATTGCAGAGTCTTGCAAATCTAGTGCATGGATTTTCCGACAATGGGAAAGCCTGAAACGTAGGTTTTCTGTTGTTAGGCACCGGGCGATCTATATTTGGCAATCCAGCATAACAAACCGAGATAACGTTATATATAGCTTTGAACGTGTTCAGCATATCTTTCTAGTCATGTAAAGTAGACCTGCCAACGGAAGAATTGTCGTTATTCCCGTCCCAGGTGGCATTGGATACAGGTGTGAAGCAGGATGACCTTCTTGAGGTTGGACAACAGGAAAACATTTGTCCCAAAACATTGCCTCTGCTAGGCAACTACAACCACGCACAACATAACAAAACAATGTTGGTAGTAACATCGCAAACGGTTACTTGTTTGCGCACCATTAAATGCCGTGTATAAGGACTGACCCGGCTCATCAGCGTCAAGCCTGCGCGGGTTCTCATGTCGTCATTCCGCCGGTGTCCAAGACCTTCTGGATACCTCGTCATGTCCGACAGGTGGATTCTTCGCGATCTTCGCTTGATCAATCACCGAGGTATCTTCGGTGCGCGTGTTTGTCAAGTTGTGAGCTTGCTCCGGGCAACGGGCTTCAATTTTCGCCACATTAAAGGTTTTTACCACTAACGTGAAGAATCGATAGTGTTTGGAGAAGGGATAAAAACGTCTGTGTCAGGTGGCGGATGACGTCATGAGGGAGCGAGTTTGCGAGGCCGGGCACCACGTGACCCTCCGCCCCGGAATCTTTGCGTTAGAGATTTGGGCTATGTTTTCCTGGATTCATGTGTCACCACGGTGCATATCGGAGCACATGCGTACTGCCTAACTGATTATGTGCCTAGGCCAGACGTTGGACCCTTGCTCCACTGTATTAGGTTTCTCCATGTTGCACGGTCCAGGTCCCTAAATCGCTACCTTTACACTAATCGTCCTGTGTCTTTGGAAGCAAGAGTATTAATAATCATATGATAATAAATATCATTTTGTTTGTTAATCAAACGAAACAACGTTATTGTTAGCAGCAACACATAGCTTTTGTACACAGTCATAATTCGAAATCGAAATGTTGGCTCGAATATACTATTCTGAAATGCACTGCCTTGGATGTTTGTATTTTCTGTAGATGGTTCTGGTTACCTTTGCCAAGCCATCGCCACAGGTACAGCTAACTGCTACTACTACTTTGGTAAAGGGACAACACGTACATGTATGTTAATGTTGACTTAAAGTGCATAATCAAACAAATGAGCCCTAAAATGACATTTTCTCTCTTGACTGTGTCGCCAGGAAAATGCGAAGAGCGGTTCGACACCGTGTTCGACTGGGTCCGACCGAACCGAGACGAGAACGGCTACATGATGGGAGTCATCTACAACACCTTCTTCTTCTCCGACGGTCGCTACTGGATGTACGAGAACTCCAAGGGACGGACGCGGTACGGAGACCCCCTCCTGATCCGCGGGGGCTGGCAGGGCATCGCGGCACGGCAGATCGACGGGATCCTCCACGTCTGGTCAAGGACATGGGACGTCCTCTTCTTCTTTGCAGGTAATTGTGTACTTTTGAGACATTCAAGAAAAACAGCAAAAGTAAGACGAAACACATAGAGAAACAAACGAACAAACAAAGGCACATATATACAGACACATAAGCACAAACACAGCAAACACACCTAAAAAGCACCCCAAGAGCGTCGTACCATCTACGTCTCTCACAAGTTATCCCAGCAGTTGAGACAGACAAGTCCATCGGGATGGCCTGACCTGTGTCTTAGAATTTGGGTGATGATTTTGTTGTCATGGCAGCAAAATTACCTCTACCAGCTGACCCAGTTTAAGACCGACTACATGGTTGGAGCCACGTACCTAACATCTCACCTGAGCTGAGGACTTCGCCCACTGTCCCTCTGCACTCGCACCAACTTGTGGGTCCTGAACTGGATCTTGATCTTTGCCCAAATCCAAACACGTCTTTGTTTGCCCATTCCACCTTAAGATAATAAAAAGCCACAAATACGTTTTGGGGTCATTCTGGTAGCAAATAGACTCAAATGTCGGTACTGGTTCTGATTATGAGGACACAGTCATAATCTTATGAAAACCAGAAAAAGGATAAAAGAAGCCATTGAGAGGGTTTGAAAGACGACAGTAGAGCAGCATCCAGAATATCAAGGAGAAAAGAATTGGCGATGAAAAAGTTATCCTAAAACAAATCTCCGATGGGACCTAATATGTACAAGACTTGTGTAATGCTGATCTAACTTTGACTGCATGCTTCTCTGTTCTCAGGTGATTCGTATTGGGAGTACGACAGCGAGCAGGAACAGATCTACACACACGACGCCAACGGAAACCCCTTCCCCAACCTCATCAGCTACGGGTTTCCCGGCATCCCAGACAACATCGACACCGTCTACTACAACAGAACTGCGGGATACACCTACTTCTTCAAGGATCACCTGGTGAGTTATGGAAAGTCATTTTACTTGTGGGTCTCAGGGAATGGAGATTGGCACCACCTTTATGCTCTGCACATAGCGGGACCTTTTCTAATGGGATCATAGAAGTGAGATTTGCTCTTAACTTTGCCAACCATCTAAGATGCCCCGTCTGTTCCAGGTGTACCAGTACGAAGTCGAGCGGCAGAGAGTGAGTCCGGGCTTCCCCAAGGAAATCAGCGAGGTGTTCCCCGGCGTGCCCAACAACCTGGACGCCGCCTATTACTCCTACACGCACCAGACCACGTTTTTCCTGAAGGGGTTCGACTACTGGAGTATAAACGTCTCGACAGCGGCGATAGACGGACCGTTCACCGTCAACGAACAGTGGCAGGACATTTGTAAGGTGTGGATGTGGGAGCTGGACGGGTCGTAGAACACAGTTTTCTTGCCTCTGCACGTCACGCGGAAAAAAACTTCACAGAAGCTTTCTTGACCCTCTTGTCGCTTCAACGGTTAGTGGATCTATGCAGCCCCCCTCCCCCACGAGTGGTCCCTGTCATGGCATAGGGCAATTTTGTGCAATACGAGTTTCACGAAAGACCACGTTGGCTTGTCTGCGCTTCGAGGAAGCAGATGTCTAAGAGACATGTACAATGTAGGATTTGTTATGTTTTCACTAAGATGTACGAATTGTCGACTCAACAGAGGGAATTGTTAACGATAGCCGTCTCTGACGAGGCCCTTAGCTATGATGATGTATGTTGTTCTTGTCGCCTTCTCGGACAGTCTTAACTACTATTTCAGCATCTAAAACCCTTTATTTTGGTTAAGTACTGAGAGCAAATTTCTGCTCAGAGACAACCTTGCTGTAAGTGAAGGGAATGTCGTCCTACAAATTGATTCACTTTTTGCTATCTCAGGAACTCCTGTCTAATCATGTATGTGTCATTTGTACTACATTTTTGACAATGATGAAATTTTGTGTATTTAAGATATTTGCCCCTTGTTGTAATGTCACGTGTCCTGGTGGATACAGTATTTATACCCATAGGCATTGGTAAATGGGCCTATGTATGATGTATGTGTGGATGGAACAGTCTTAGACCGTAAACAGTTTCAAATCTTTAATGTAAGAACCCGACAAGTGAGTGTTGGTAGTGTACCGGTTCAATGATGCCCTGTGCAATAGTGCCTGCGGAGTGACAATCACACAGAAAATCATTCTCCAAGTTCAGATTCTGGAACAGAAGTCTGCAGGGCGGTGTAGGGGGCGTGGTCAAACAAGGAGCCCCGCCCACATGACAACAACGACGTTTCAAGTTTAGTTCAAACTTTTCGGCGTTAGCTTTATTTCTTCGCTTGTGATATATGTTCATTCTTAAGCTTTATCATGCCACAGCTTAAATTATTCTTTAAAGTTATATTCATACAGCTTTTATTTACAAACGACAACCGACTGGCTACATGTTGCACATGTACGTGTTGGGCAAATAAGATGTCTGTAGTATGTCTTTTGTTCACGTTTAAACACTATGTTCAGAGAGTATACTATACCTGTTCGTCGTTTGCATGAAGTGCCATGCAGTATACAATGTATCACACGTCCTAACCAGAATAAAACAGTTCAAAATGACGTTATAATTGGTGGCAAGTCGTGATTGATGATAAGTAACAGTTTTTTGGTAGCAAAACTATTGTAAGTTAAAAGTAGTGTGTGCGGGGGGGGGGGCGTCCACAGTAAAATGCTCTCTTGGCAGAATAGGTATCACAAGCGGTAAATCTATGGACGCAAAAACTCAGCATAATTTCGTGTTACGTAAAACACTGTAATTGTCTAGTTATTGTTTTGTATGAATTCGGCCACAATGAGGCAAGTGCCTACATGCCATTCTTCCCAGACATTAATTCTATTAGGACGACAACAACCTGACTGTCTTGAGTACTGATGTTTTGGCGTCTGCAGCAATTGAAGTCAGTTTAACCGTGTGTATGATCCGAGTGTGGACATATCCGAGTAGGGTCAGTAAACAGCCGGCGTAGGTACACATGTTTTAATGGGAATTTATGACTCCTCAATAGACCTTGTGATTCTGTGCTTGTGCTCATTTGCATACATGGAGAGGCGTGTGTTTTATTGCTCTTGTCGTGATATATTTGTATTGGGCTTGTTTTTTCTAACAGAGGGACTCTTTTGGCATATTTTCGTCTTGACTGTATACGATTGTACGTACGTAAGGTGTAAGAGACAGGTGTTTTCAGACACGTAAGGTTACCACAAACCTACTCCGGCCAGCCATAATCACCCTGCCGCGTACCTGCGAGTCACGTACCTACACCAGCCTCGGGTGGCACCTGCCAACACTATTTGCTCCTTATCTTCAAAAACACGCTTTGGACCAAGCCTTGTTTTCCGATGGCACATGCTTTCTGGCCCTTTCTTCCATTGTTTTCCCGACGGCTATCTGCACCTAGGACACTTTATAAGCCGGGCATGTTTGTGCATTCTCGCGCCTCCACGCAACGGAGCCTTTGATAATTGAACCACTCCACTATCCTCCGAGACAAAAGCCACAATCCTTTATGACTGTATGAGGTTTAAGTGGAATTAAAAGAGCTGCCCCCGTGATAAGGCGACTTGTTTAAAAGTCATTAATAGCTGGGCACAGATTAAGATATGTCCGTTTAAAAGCCATTAGCGGCAGTGTGGGTAAACAACAAACTTCCTTGGCGGTGAGGCCGGAGTGTTTCATCAAAGTTGCGAAACACTTTTTGAGCACGTTGGCAAAGTAGTGGAGAATCCCATCTTCCAGATGTACTGATTAAATGTCATTGGAAACAATGTATGTATCCGCAGAATTCATCCCATACAGCTTGCCATGCAAGCATGCTCGCATAAAATTGTTTTCAGATGTAGACTCTTTTCATCGGACGAGAAATTTTGGCCTCTGGCCTTGCTCAGAGCTCCAGCTCCCTCGACTTGTTTTTCGGAGACTGTCGGCGCCTGTGTCCCGGCCATGGGGCTATCGCGCTATCGGTCATGGTCCACGACGACCGCAAAGTTGGCCCCGATGATTTATCATCGTATTTTCGATGCGGGTCTCTGGGTACTTCAGAACACAATTCCTGCTGTCTTTCAGCGCTCTTAAGGGTCTGGTCACATACGTCATACGATCTAAACTGAGGACAATCTTGGGATAGTTACGTTCTCGGGACAGCCATGTGTTTCCTAAGATTCAACTGTCTTGTTACGGAAAACTAAGGTTTGAACGTTCTAGCCTCCATCTTAGATCCTTGTCAGAGGTTGTTTCTCTTACATCCTGCTTGCAAATTCTATGGCATTAAAATTGTAGGACGACCTATGACGAATGTGACCGCGCGGTAACTTGTAACAAAGGACGAGGTGCCTGTGTCCTCACAGGTCTCTCATATCTAGCAGCTATACCTGAACTTAAAGCGCCCATATGCTCATTTCGTGTTGTTGGGTTTTCGAGACAGATCTCTACATTCATTACAAGCGATCCCGTCATGTAATATTGCCCTACCGCAAACACTCAGCGTGCTTTGTAACATTGAAGTCTTTCCGTACAATAGCAGGGGCGCAGCGGCGCACATACCTGCAATACCAGAGCCGTTTGCACTGGACGTGCCACAGACAGGACAACAACTGAGGGCAAATTTCCAACATGTTTGAGGAGCTTTTGCTCCCGCTTCTAAATGGGTTTTTACGTTTGGGATTTGGGTCAGTCGACATGGTAAGACGACATTGATGCGGCGGAGAAAGGACGCTGTCAGGGAGTGAGCGACACTCGGTAAACCGCCATGTGACAGTGATTAAATCAATACTTTAATTTTCCACCGAGTACGGCATGTTTATCGCCTATGTTTATAAGTTACCCACTGCTCGGGCTTAGCAGCTATGCACACAGCACAGCAGAGAGTTGAGAGTACCAGTGATTGTCACGCGGAGAATTCGAAACTTCGCGAAAGACTGTAAGAAATGCTAGTGATAACGTCACTGTAATATGACAGTGTTCCAGACAGAATGTGAAGGTACGAGATGAGCTGCCCATAGTAGTGTTGCTGGTAATTAAGGGATAGTTATATATATAGTGTTGGGGCACCACATTGATAGGGGAGTTGGAAGAAATTTGTACCTCAGTCCTTGTGTAAATTTCTTCCCACCTGTGTACAACAGGTGGTTAGAGGTTGGGGGGTACTAATTTGGCTTCGGTAGTTTTTGTGGTGAACATGGGGGTGCATCGTCAGCAAACTGCCGCGAACTGACGCAAACTGCCCCACGTCTTATTATACGCCCAGCGTCTATCTTTAACTTTATGGCAGCGGTAGCTACAGCAACGGTTCAGTGGCTGCGTGCAATATGGCTCCCCGCGCCGCGACTCGAGTACCCTTCTCCTGGTGCGGCCGCGGACCTGGCAAACACCATCCACGGTAATTACGGCGAGCGAGGCTCTGCTCGGGCTCTTTTATCTCTCCGATAGCGTCTATAAGGCCACACAATAACAGATATACGTGACATTTAAGCTGAGGTCTCGACAGGAATGTGAAAAACACCCTACACAGTATACACAAGATATTCGATTTTCTTGACCGGCATCAGAGCTCAGGTTCAAAATCCACGTGTTTAGAATTCTTTCCATTGTGGAAAAGGTTATCAAAGTGATTGTAAATCTTTGATAGGTATTTGCGGGTCGATAATTGAGTGCCCCGACAATTAAGACAGATTATAGCGCTATTATAGCGATACGTGCGTGAGGCTATCAAGGCGCTAGCCACGGGGGTTCAGCTCGGTTGCTACCCGGGGTCTAAACTTTGCCGTGTTGTAAAACCTGAAGTTCACGTACGTGTTGGTATGTTTGGATTTATAGCTACTTGACGTGTGCTCGTACTGGTAAATCCGATTACTTGGACACTGATTAAACGCGGATAATCTTACATACATGATGATCTGCCCGCCCGGTTATTGTATAGTGTCTATTGAACCGTGAAGCTTCGAGTACTAAATTATAGTTGCAGTACATGGGAAAGACTGTGGAAAGACTTTTAAACTATCATCTGTCTTTTACGAATTCTTCACTACAATTCTACACTCCGTAAGTAGGGACTGTTCCGTATAAAAAATATGATATGTTGAGCTTTATGAAAGAGTAATTTTCTTTAGTCACTCACTCCCTCTTTCTTTCTGAATACTTCGTGACTCTTCGCGAAGGTTTTGCTTTTAGATGATGCTTTCCTGGATTAGAATAAATAGTCGGTACCACCCAGTGAATGGTATCCAGTCTCATCAAGTGTCACTCATTTGACAACTTGACTGACTCAGCATGCATCAGGCGTCAGTCATGTCACGTTGTACAGCGGATCTTTGTCACGGGCCAAAGTTCAATGTGGTCGACGATGATAAATACCTGAAATCTCTCCTCATCAAATGTCGGAAGAGATTCTATAGCATTAGCTGTAGTAGCTATCCTCCCAAGTTTGGGATAGCGGCGGAAGGCAAAGGCATCGATATCGGACAGGACAGAAAGAAAGATGAGACTTAGTGTATTTTCATATTAAAGAGGAAGGAATGCAACAGCAAAGGGAAAGTTGTACAAATGCTTTACACGAGCTTCGATCTTTCTCATATTCTTATTGCACTGTTTGAGGTGCTAAGTCTGCACGACGTTACTACATACCAATGTACATGCAATTTACGTACTAGTACATTGTATTACAAGTGTCATTCATGGTTGTGCTTTGGTACACTGGAAAATAACATTTTACTATGATATCTGGTCATCCATGGTGCACATGATGATGTACAAATTACGGTCGGAAGGGGCGTCTCTCTGAGACGTGCGGCCGTCAGCTTACTTGTTGTGGAGGAATCAAACATTACAGGAGGCATAGCGACATAAACAAGTGGGATACAATGTGGAAGTTATCGCGCGTTTTCACCAACAGCTATCTGAACAGGCAAACAAGGTATCAGTCATTCCATCTCATACTGACGTGCTTGAGTCAGAAAAATTGGATTGTATAATGTTTCGACAAACAAAATAACTTCTGGCTCATGTGGTGAGAAGGTTTTGAAAGAGACCATTCCATAAGTCTGACTCATACCGGACCAAACGTTTGGTTTCCACCCAGAAACCGCCGTTTTTTCAGATAAACACGATTAAACAACGCTCCTCTCCATGGCAAATACGCCCTGTGCGATCAAAGGCCGGAATTCCTGTCTTTCTTCTTTAACAGAAAAACACGGACCACGTACTCCCTACCCCTTTCCACGTGATGATCTTATTTTGCAAATTCTCCGTGTGCGATAACGTCTGTGTATGGACGTGTTTGTGTAGCTTGGTCCCTGCGCTGTTTAAAGTAGGATTACGCCACCTCCTCTCGTTCTAACTACATTTGTACTCTACGTACGATGTCAACGAGAAAGTGTGAAGAAAAGTCGACAAAAGGCAGAAACATTGTTATACACAAACTCATAAGGTAACGATCTGGCTCAACTTGAGATGTATACTTGTCTTTTTCATTGGGCGCATTCCAACATCCAATCCTGTATGTCTATAGTTACTGTACGGTGAAGTAAAGCCTATCCCATAATACTCTGGACGTCCTCTAGTCCAGGAAGGACAGTATGACGTTCTCTCGGGCGGAGACCTAATTCTTAACGGGTAGTTAATTAAATATTAAAGGCAAAGGTGTGACATAGGCAGCAAGAAATGAATCCAGACATAAAGACAGTTATACCTCAATAAGAATTATATCATATGTCAAATTCATTCTTTCTTATAGTGATAAGGTAATAGTGATACCTCTCCATCTGAGGCCATACTCAAGACTGTGACTGTATAATAACGGTCTAACGGTGAACATTAATATGTCTACACTGCTGCAGTGCAGGCAATGTCTAGAGATTATAGAAGCAATGCACATCAAGAAAAGTATACACAAAATATTGCACTCAAGACCACTGGTCAGGAAAGGCACTACGATGGTCGTGCAAGAGCAAGGTCCTTTTACACTTACAGTTTGCAGCCAGGTCTACAATGTATGTATCAACCTCCAAACATGTCCACGATTTCCACTATGTTAACTACATCCCCAAGCAAAGTGACTAGTATTTCTTATCTTTACTCATATTCTGAGTTGTTGTGATGCCAGACAAATTCAGGCCCTTATTAAAGGGTATCCCAGACATCAGAGTCACAATCCTTACCCAAGAGGACAGTTAGCTCCAGATACCATCCAACAATGACGTTATCCCCCCTACTGTTGGCAGGCTCTGGAGACTATTTAGCTGGTTTTAATGGCACTTGAAGTCCCCACATCACATGTACCTTTGAGCTACTCTGTCTAATTAGTCTGGGTAACATTTTCCCCAGCTTTAGAAAAAGCACTGCCAAGTTGTAAGGGTGTTCTTATGCCCTCTTTAAGCTAGAGTCTGCGACTGCTGAGCAACCACTGAGTGACCAAACAGTTGACAGATCACTCAATGAGTTTCATACATGAAGAAATTTTTTAAATATAGTGTTTTGATCGCTTTTCAATTATGCATACTTTGACACTTTACATCATATTCCAATTCTGACATCATACAAATCCAATTTTGGTTGCTGTACAACTGCTCAGCGATCACTGTCTAGTGGAAAGGGGGCCTCACAGCGTAACTACATCAGCACTGTAGAAGATGGCACTCAGGCAATTAAATATCTGACATTGCGATATATTTGACATGGCAGGCCCTGTACACCCATTAACCAAATGCTAGACATCAGCAAGTACCTTATAATACCCCAGGCCGTCACTGAATGCTGTGCACGTAAATGACTCTCTGGTGAATCTCAATAGATTTGCTTTAGTTTCTATAAGATGCAGGAGTTAGGTATGCTAGGTATGCTGCAACATGACCATCAAGACCAATTACTGAAGTCTCCCTCTTTCAGCAGGTGGATAAACAAGGGCTAATTTCAATGGATCACCTGTGGCACTGCCTGCTCAGGACTGACTGTACACAAATGTATTAGCATCAATAAGGATAGTCTAATGTACATGAAATGTCACACAAAGTGTCAATATGCCACATGTACGTTAATCATTGAACTGTCTGTTGCTTCTGAACAGCCCACATTACACACTTGTCGCACACCTTTGCTTTGCTGCCTTCAATAACAATTACATAATCTACATGTACTAGTATGATACAGTCTGTATTTCTTTTAGTGTGTAAAGCAGCAGAAGTGCCTAAATCTTTTTGCACCGTACATCTATAATCATTGCATTTTCTTGTAGATTTTCTTTTTAGACAAGGAAGAGTTCAGCAGGTACTCCTGTGTCTCAGGTACAGTCATTACAGAATCTCACAATCTGTTGTGTCAAAGATATACTGTACATTGTATATACATATGTTCACAAAATTGACTGCACAAAAGCTCATTGTAGCCATTATACATAAGATGAATATATTGATAATGTGAGCCCCTTCTGAGCTTTACACAATATTCTTGCTTCTGCCAGTTTCAATGATCCATTTAGAGACTGACTCCTTTCTGCAGCTTATACAGACCAGGAGAAATCCCTTAAAGTAGCTCTTACTGTCAGCCACCCACACAGAGATTGGGTGATTTTTCCTCAGATTTCATAGCCTGGGAACCATCCGTTTTGTATCTGGGTAGCGAGTGCAAGGAGCCCGGGTACAAATCGGACGGCACCCAGGCTACACATTTCATCCATTAGCAAGCAAGGAGAAAAGCCCAACAATGCCAAAGAGGCTTGCACAGTTCAATGTGGTAGTAGAGCCAGTGTGTCCGCCATGTTCTGTACCCGTCTCAGCAGGCCGGCTGAAGACTCGGCCGTCCCTCTCAGACACGACGCGTACGCTTTCTTGTACTGCTCCAGCTGAGTTGCTGTGAGGTGGCGGCTGTGAAACGTAGCAAACATGAACAGTCAATTTTCTTCTTGACTCAATTGTACAAGATATCAGGTTAACTCTAAATAACACCTATAAGTTAAGCAGAGTAATATACATTTTTTATAGAAGCCCACAAAAGTCTACATGGCAACCTGACCTCTCGTATCTCTCTAGAGGCCCGACCAGTTGTACAGGCCAGGGGCTTCGGTAGATACACGTATTGGTATTAAGTGAAAAATTGTGCACTTTGCCAGAACAAACAACTTACTTTGGCTTCCCTGCACGTCTGCGGTGGGGAGGGGGGCATGGCAAGGGTCATACAGACAAGGTAAACAGCACAGATGGAGAGAGAGGGAAGAACATCAGACTGTGTGGATTGGACATGCATAAAAGGGCGGGAAACAAAGTTACCTATAACTAGGAAAGAGGAACGTATACTTCAAATACACGAAAGTGGAAGTACGGTGTGATTTTGGTATGGTGAGTTTTGCGGTCTTGTATACATGTACACTGTGTAGTCAGAGCAGTAAGATCAGGGTCAGCCAATTATCAAAAGTAGATTTTTTCAGTCGTCAGGTGTCAGTGACAACAGGTCATCTAAGGACAACACATTACATTTGCCTGTTATGCCTAAAACAGCAGTCTTACCTTGGCTTTCCACCATGATGCTTGTGAGAACTGAGGACAGTGACAGACTACAGTAAGGAGTGGGCATTAAAAAAAACATGGAAAATGGAAACTTGTGAGGAAAGAGATAACACACCAACAAAGGGATGATGGTTTGTCTGTAAGGGTAACTGGGAATGGAAGTGGAAAGGAAATACTGGTAAATGGATATGGGTAATTAACAGAACAAACAGTAAGCTTATACCGCAAATCTTAAAATGCTCAGACACGTGGTTCTATTTTTGCAGTGACATTCCCACTGTTTATCACTGCAAATATTTCTTATTCTATCATCAAAATAAGTAGCTCAAAGAATAATGCTGCTGCAGTTCCCCACAGGATAAATAAAACGAGTCCCAGCCCTGACCTGGCTTTCCCTGATGCTGCTGTCTTGATAAGCGTGTGCAGGAGATGCTGTAGTCTGGACTCCAGAATGTTGAGGAGCTTCTCACTCTCCTCTTTAGGCACCAGGCTAGAAACAACCGTCTGGTTCTTGGACAAGTCGTTGGATGTTGTGTTTTCACCATCAGGGCTGGTGCCTTCTTCTGTAGGAGGTCATACATATAAATAATTATGAACTTTGTTCAGACAATTTTGTACCAAGAGGACTGTAAGAAAATTACCTAGTATGATCCATTTACTTGATAAGTATGACTTTACAGATGCAGCAAATCAGATATGGATTGATGGAGGATCACCAAAATCAAAGATAAGCATTTCAAGGATGATCATTTTTACCATATCCTCATCTAAACTTATGCATAAGGATAAAGAGCACAGTGACAAGCACTCCTGTTGATGTTACTGAGTGTTTTTCCTGTGTTGTCAGGCTTACCATCAGGCCCCAGTTCCCTGTGTATACTGTGCATTGCTTCCCTGCACTCAGCCATGTACCCCAGGGCTGTGGACAGGGTTCGCACTTTACTCCCAGCTGTAGTTTGACCTGAAAAAACAACGAAACACTTTCTTGGCTTCCAATATTTTCTTGGTTTGAACAACAGTTTTATTTGCAAGCTCAAGCCTGATGGCCAATAGCAAATTAATGCGTTGAATGTGAGGTATAAAATATCTGTTGACCTATCTGGTGTTTCTACGTACATTACTAAGGGTATGACCTCTTTTCTCAGGCAGTGGCTAATGAATAATGGTATAAGATGCAAGACTTTTCAAGACCTGCTCCTTCCATCACATAACTGGGCCACACATTAGTCACACATTCTTAAGTGTAATGTTGGGATATGACACTGCTTTGCTAAAAGGATGACGTACCCCCTAACTGGTATTCACAGAGAGCCACCCTTTCCAGCTGCACTCTGGTGAGCTCGCAGGGGTGTTCCAGTTGCTGGAAGAGCCTGCAGGCTTTCCCGTAGTGGTGTTCAGCCTGGGATCGCGCCTGTTTTCTCTTCTGGTCCTCCGACTGCAGTGAAACAATGAAAGACCTCTTACTCTCTGATCGGGACACACATACTGTAAAGTCATTTACTTTTGTGTTCGTTTTATTTCATGTGATCAGCAATAACTACATCCAACATGACATTACATTTTAATCCGTCTCAAAAAACATGCTCATGGATAGCCTGATCACCAGACATATTTTAACTTCAAGTAGGAGAGGATGAAAGAGGTTTAGTAGCTAAAATGTGTTTGGTAACCAGGCTAGTTCATGGAATGATTGACTGAATATCAATCATCAAATTGATAACTGATTCTAGAAAGATGCACCTTTCACCACAGACTTGCTTTCAACACCTGTATCATGGTAAGTAGTACTACACTGCATGTCTTCACCTGGTTCCTGTATGCGTTGTGAAACATGGACGCCAGGCGGTGATGGATTGTTGCAGCGCGGTACTGTGCGAGGGGCTGGCGCGGGGACTCTGTCTCCGTGTCACAGTACCGTATGGACCTGGTCATCAGCTCTACAACCTCCTTCTCCACCTACAACCAACAACAAAGGGGGGGAAAAGACACATCTTTGCTGTAACACTTCGAGTTTGCAGCTATTTAGTCTTTCTTTACTCTGTGGATGAATTGGAGAGTGAGATGACTAAAAAGTGATAAACTAGTAGGTATTGTATGGCCCTTTGTCATTATTATATGGCCCTTTGTCATCATCTCAACAACCTCATTCTTTACATACAGTCATCACCAAGGTAAACATCATCACACAACAGTGTTTGCATCAATGGTTGTAGTTACAAAGCTTTATTTTGACCTGTCAATACTTTAGACAGAAAAGAGTATCATTTATAGTAACTCTAAAGTACATTGACTCAAAAGCGCCATCTAGCAGCAAAAGTGTAAGATGCAATTCCAGTAGCCATCTACAGCTAGCATGGCTAGTGGATCACATGTCTGCTAGTTGTCTGACCTGCTCCTCTGCCTTGATGGAGAGTGGTGCGAAGTCCTGCAGCAGTGTTGCCATGGTGAAGAATGTTGTCGACAGCTCCCATTGGACAGAATCCCAGACCATTGGAAAGGCTGATCGGTCTTTCAAAATATGGACTGCTTTCATGTAGTGGTCCCTTGCCTGATCACATATGTTAAAAAAAACACAAATATTTTGGTGACTGTGACCCTGTCTGATAGAGTACATTTTGTAATGCTGCATGACTGTCAAAGTCATCAACACCAATTGTAGGAGCAAAGCCATGGTGATCAATGCTACTAGATCTCTGACTTCCTTTACTTTCAGGTTTCACTAAAAGTAATAAAGGAAGCATTACTGTTGGAACTGTACAGCTATAGTACAAACATTTATCCTTACCTTATTGTAGTAAATTCTTTCCTGATGAGAAAACTCCCCCCTCTTGCCATCTGTGTCATGCTGCACACATGACTGAGCCCACACCCTCATCAGCCTGCCTGTGTTGGAGTGCAGCAGGGCGATGTTTGTCATGTCCACGGCAGCTCTAAACGCACCGATCCCCGACTCAAATGCACACTGACTCTTCTGTAACGTCTTGTCTTGCTCTGGTCCTAAGATGCACATGGAATCACAAGGCATTATTTTTACAATCTGTGCCTGCGTGGCAAATTTATGCAAACTCTAGAATCATAGAGATAAAAGAAAAATTCTGTTTCTGCTACAGGTATGGTTTAAAGTCTTGCATTGTGATAAAAATGTCATGGTCTCTTTATACCTTTGGCCTGATCACAAACTGTATGCTGGTATTTTATGGCATGCAGTCTATAACAAGCTCAAACACACAGGATATATATCTGTTGTGTTAAGTTGACCGCATGACCCATAGGTGATCGCATATAGGTCACCTCGTGGTGACCTATATGCGACCATCTTGTTCGCCATTGTAAGATTCACATAGAAGGTTGTATTAAACGTCTGCTCAGATTGAGTCATCGCACATGTGTTATATAAACAGCGTAGTGGCAACACTAGGTTTTCAAGAATCCACCATGCTTACCATACTCCATGCCTGCTGCCCTGTTCATGAGTATCACCCCCATCTCGTTCTGCACGTTGCCCAGGCGCTTGTTCACATTGATGAACTGGTTGTGAGACTCCTTGCGGTTGGTCCTGATGGCAGCTTCTTCGTAGCAGCGTACACTGGTTTCCAGGCAACTCTCGATGTCGTGCATGAAGAACTCAGTGGCCCAGTCATGCTCTGTATCAGATAACAGGCAGAGATGGATGAATGTTGTTATGATTTATACTGAAGATAAACATACTACAGATTTATGCAGGAAATCAATGAAGCAACTACAAAAAAACTGAAACAACTACAAAGACAATGACTTTCTTTAACTGTTGGTGCCAAAATATGAAATACAAAGTTTGGGATTGATTGAAAACCTCAATTTTTTGGGGGGGAACAAATTAGAAAAAAAAACAGGAAAGCTGAGAAGCAACAAATTGAATTGGGCTAGTTTTATCATTGGTATTAGTTGTCCAGCATTACTAAGCATTTTCTAAATGTAGTGTAACAAGAACTTATAACTACTACTGTTAGAAACAAGTTGGGACATGTAAGAATTGACTTACTGCTGCAGAGAGGCTTGACAGCCTCCTGTTTGGCGCTCCTGGAGATGATTCCATCGTCCTGACTCTTGACCTCCAGCTCTGCCTCGTACGCCTGGTGGTTGTCAATGTGTTTGGCCATCATGAGCTGGACGTCTCCGGCCAGGGTCAGCAGGGACGTCTGCAGGTTACGGTTCTCATGCAGCAGCCCAAACGACAGGGCAGAGAACGCATCTGTGGGGTACACCAGAGGAGGGATAAGAATAAAACAAGAAGCAGACATAGAAATGGTCAAACTCTCAAAGCAAACAGCAATATTGAAAGGCAAAGTGACTTCTTCCTTTACCATCTTTTAGAAATATCTTAAAAATAAAACAGTGATCTTTGGGTTTCAAAATTTGGAACCAAAAAAGGAACCAAAAACTATCATTGTATGAATCGTATTGGAAAAATCTTTTCTTACCATAACACAGCAGAGCCAGTCTGAGGTGCCTCAGTGCACACCCATACCTCCCCAGGGTGTTGGCAACGTCCGATAATGCAAAGTACGCCGTCGCCGCCTTTTTCAACAGAAGGATCTTCAGCTGGCCTTCCCAGGAGTCTTTGCTGATATTGCGGCAGGGAGTCAGAGCATGCTGGGACGGTGTGTCCTCGCTTACAACTGGGTCTGTAAAGCTGGAGCTTTCTTCTCGACACTCTGGAGATTCTTGTTTAGAGGCACTGTCATCTCCGTTTTGGAAGAGCTTAGCATAGTGCAGTGGGATGGCTTTAGAAGGGCTGGGGAAGGGAGCTGGTTTGGGAGGGGCCAGCTTCGAGGCATAGCTGTCAATCAGCATCAGTGCCTTGGATAGAAGGAGAAGCACTGTGACAGCTCTTGTCACTTTACCATCTACATGTATATATCACTTAAATTTGTAACTTGTACACTGTCCATATAGCATGCAAATCATACAAATAGTATGAGACAGGTGAGTGAGTGCAAGGATCCTCATTACAAATCAGATTTGCACCCAGGCTAGCACCATCTTCCATACTTTACAAAGTGGCTGACAGTTCAAGATGCTTACCTTGGACACGTAAGACAGCGCTGCTCTTGCTCTCTCTTCAACTGACATGGGCTGTTTTGCTTTATGTGGAGGCTAAGAAAAAATATCAAGCCAGTTCATTAGCACAGCACACTAATCTCAGAATTCTTCAGTAGTCTGTCAAATGAAGATGCACATCGGGAGTAAAAAAAGCTGTTAAGATCTTATTTTGTAATAGCCTGGTTACCAAACCTATTATAGCTCCCGAGTCCTACATCCTCTCCGCTA